GGGGGGGGGAAGGAAGGAAGGTTGAGAAAGATTAAAACATTTGCGTCGTCACAGAATTGCCGCACGCGTTTCTAAAATGCGCGCTTAATTTCTTTCCTTAGACCGCGCGAGTCTGATGTAATATCACTTGGTAAACTGTTAGATAGCAAAGCTCTTGTGGACGAAAAACGTGGGAATAAACAATATATATAACGACGAATTCTTTTAATACGTATTAAAATACGTACCCGTTATCGCTTAGATAAACGAAATTCAAATAAGCGAGCCGCTCTGTTTACGTATAATAAACACTGCACGCAGTTTCAAGTTTCATATTATAGTTCGTGCGCGCGCACTAATAAATTTCTGTAGAAATAACTTGATGTATGTAAAATACAATAGATAAAATAATTCGTCTCTACGAAATAATGTCTGGACGATGTACTTGCATTCTTTGAGCCAAGCAATTTCGATGAAAATTAGATGTTCGCGTGTAATTTCTTTTCAATTCAATTTTGTTTTTCATCAACACGTCTATACATATCAAATGAAAATTGAGAAAATTCCTCCAGCAAAGGAAGGAACTGCAAATTTTGTTTTGATTGATTTCGAAGAAGCTAATCTGCAGTATATTATAAATAAAATTTGTCAGCAAATCTTGATCTAAAGTCTTGAACGTTTGACATTGAAACAATCGTCTCGTTATTCTACCGTTATTAAGATATTTTTCAGTATAGTAATGAACCCAGGTTTATTAAACACAAACAAATTTCTTCATCGCGCGCGCGTTCACAATTTTCCCTATTCTTTTAATTTAACCAATCGACGTAGAGTATGTAGGTATTCGTCATAGGTCACGCTCTCGGACGTGCCGTTCGAACTTGGAATCTATAGATCGAGGCAGTCGCGCGCGCTGCAGCGATTGTTGACAAGTTTGACAATAAGAAAGGCCCACTTCAGTTCCTTTCGCGTGTCTATCAATCTAACCCATTGCATGCATTGGTTGGATTGATATATAACATATTATACACGTATTTGTGTACGTGAGTCAGAGAATGAGGCTCGACGGAGGCCTGTCGATCTCTCGGCCAATGACAGGACAGTTGATCGCTTTTACGCGTCGGCATCACCTCATCATAGGCAACGCGAAACGCACGACGTCGCGCATCATAAATCCGGCATATGTAATTTTTCGACGATCCTCATGGTAAATCATTCAATTTATACACGCGCGTGCAATCAGTGTATAAATGAGTACATGAGTGAAATAATATAGATATATAAATAATATAGCTTTGAACAGGGTATTTTATAACAAGGTACACTCGCGTCGACATTCCTGTATACGTATATATAAGACTTGTAAAATGTCAACCAACATTTAAATTAATTTCATCGCTCTATGTGTTTCTCGCATATATTTTATAGGTGTATATATTTTTATTTTAAACTTCCTCCTTTTTCGCCCGGCCGCCCCCCTCTCCCTCTCTATAGACTCTCTTGTTTTAATTTACCAAATATTAAACAGCGTACATTACTTCTTCAACCATAGAAAACAGACCTTATAATAGGTTTCAAAGGCGGTATATGGTTACTAATGTAGGTATATAGTGTAATGGCAGACTACTGCTAACTGTAAAAGTATAGTAGTAAGAATGATGCAGATTAAAAAGATCGATAAAGTTATTGCAAACATACAGATGTGTAACTGCAATAGGTTCTTCATCACGCGCGCGCATACGCACGCACGCACAAGTACGTATCCGCATATGGCACAATGTTGCTGCAAGCAACTGCATGCTGTACTTTTTTAAGTTAAATTCAATTCAATTGAATGAAATATTTTCTTAATCGATTGAAGGGATTCTTATATTGCATAAAGAAAGGCGTCGAACGAGGCGTACGTGACCTGTGGCCTGTAGCCTATATGACCATCCCAAGATCTGAATTGCGTCATTCTGGAAAGAAACTATGGTAAACTACGCAGTTGTCAAGCGAGATCGCTACCTAGCTCCTTCCTTTTTTTATATGGTAGTCGAATTAACCAATGTTAGAAACTCTCCAGTTGGAAAAATATCGCTTATGAAGGATATTATGTATATCCTTCCTATGAAAAACGTTTTGTATACCGCACGCGTAAAGTAATATAATCTATTTCCGGTCAGTTTTCTTTTTTCGATAAGATGAAAATTATCTTCACGAAACGAATGTTCATAAACGTAAATGAATCGGGCTGTTTTTCGAAACTATGCTAAAATTGCTATAATAATGAAAATTATTAGGTACATATAGTGCACGTAACACGCGCAAACCATATAGATTTTCAGCACTGGCAGTGAATTTGGAACACAGCCTAATATTAGGTTAGAAAATTATTAACTCTCTATCGACGATGCGTGAATAGAGATGATTCTTTATAGATTCTTAATTCTATTGTTCCGGACTATATATATATATATATATGTATGTACAATATATAAAAACAAATTCTTATATATAGAACTCGAACGTGTTCTCATCGAATATCATCGTAACGTCCTATCTCTCGTGTTTTTCCTAGTCACGCACGAGCGTGATACAAGTCGATCGTTTACGTAAAGGCGCCCACACAACGATAACGGATTAGGTAGCGTAACGGATGCGTAATACGAGACTAGGTTAAGCTAGGGCCGGCTAGGCAAGATATGGCGTGACGAAGCGGGGGAGAAAAGAATTGTGATGACGAAGCATATGTGTTTGCATGGGTCCGTAACGAAACACGCGGGTAGAATTCGAGCAGGTCTAAGCTCCTTTCTATAGTCGCGGCATTTTTCTAGGAATCTCAATTTCGGTCGACAATCGCTGTCGATTATTGTAGAATGATCAACAATTAAATAGTCTTATCTACAAATTAAAGAAATTTCCTGAAGGCGACTATCGAGATGATTTGAATGAGAGAGAGAGAGAGAGCTTTTCCTCGTGTTACGCGAAGACGTTATAATCAAAGATATGCGATCGAATCGCAAAAAATCGGATTACGTGCAATATTACACCAGTTTTAATCAACGAGACAACGATTTTGACAGAGTTGACATCGAGATTGCAATTAAGTGTATAATATATATTACACAACAGAGATCGCCCGACTATATAAGAATATTGATTATGAGAAACGGGCTTTTTTCGATTATTTCTGGCGATAAATTGCGAAGGAATGAGATTTATCTTGTCGCAGGAAAGGACACACTACAGAGGAAAATGATTTGACACGATAAAAGATCCGTCCGTTACTGCCAAGTATGCGTCGTCCACAAATATCTACCGCGTAGCCAGACGATTTTCCGAGAAGACGGGAAGAACTACTTGGCGTTTTTGGTTTTCTTGGCACTCTCATCGGTATCTTGTCAAGCATATGA